TCGCTCAGGTTGACTGCACATACCAACGGCCACTTGAAACAAATAATTGATGGAAATTATTACGGAAAATAATCTTAACCCATGCGCTATAGTACTTGCCCTAATTCTGGTTTTAAGATAAGGTACAGTCAATCTGAGGAAGAGACCAGTGGTACAGTGTAGCATTCTCCTCAGACCATTCAAGATTAATGAGTGAATTATTGCATATTATAGTCTTGAGAGTGCAGAGGGCCCAATGTAAAGAATAAATATCGAAAATTTATTATAATTATTCTCTTTATTTATAGCATAGGCAGCCCACTAAACGACTGAATTTAAATTAAAACTACAATGAAATTAAATCTCCACTCGATTGACCTATCGGCGAACTGACGTATATTAAATTTAATATAAGCTACATTTTGCAATATATTTCGCTACTTTGTGATTATTTTCGTTAAATTTTATAATTTCATTGTAGTTTTAATTTAAATTCAGTCGTTTAGTGGGCTGCCTTTGTTTATAGGTCGTGGCGAGCAGTCGGGAATTAATATATTTATTCGTGCCATACACTCCTAACACTCGCAAGCGAATACAACATAGGCAACAATAACTCTTTTTCGGTCTTTGGCTTTGTCATTGACAAGAAAAATGGTTCGGCCTTATCCAGAGTAACTTGCAAAATCATTGTGGACGTTTATACCTGCCCTCAACTGACGGGAAAGAGTCGCTGCTAGCATAGACACTCAGTCACAGATGATTGAATCTCATTTGAATATATTTACATAACATTTGCATTATTTTACGAAAAAATATAGGCAACACAGCTGGAATATTAACAAAATTATTTAACTACCCACCTTTATCATATAAATTAGTTTCCACTTGGTAACACGATGCAACGTTTTCGTCTTGTGATTCTTGGTCAATAACTGAGAAATCGTCGGCCATTTTGATTATCATAAAAATTCGTATTAAAATTCGCGCCATATGGTCCATATCCTTCATTCCAATAAAAATGCGCGTATATGATGCATAGCATCATATGTGCACGGATGTTTGTATGTTATATATCATCATAGGAAACGAGAGACCATGTTGATCACAGATACTGACTTATGGAAATACGTGGACGATACGACAGTATCGGAAACAGTTGACAAAAACCAACAGAGTAGAGCACAGACAATTGCTAATGAGATGTCACAATGGTCCCAAAACAATAAAATGAAGCTGAATGAAGAGAAATGTAAGGAGCTCCGTATTTCCTTCTCAAAAGTCCCTCGTGATTTTAACCCGATACTTATTAACAATAAAAGTATTAGAGTCATAAAATCCGTTAAACTTCTGGACTTGTCATTCGATAATAACCTGACGTGGAATCTACATATCGAAGAGGTAGTTAAAAAAGTATCCAAACGAATCTATTACCTGATCCAACTCAAACGGGCCAGTATTCCTCCGAATGATCTGGTTCTATTTTATGTTACATGTATTCGATCTGTTATCGACTATGGTATCCCTGTCATTTATTATTCGTTGCCAAAATACTTGCGTTCCGAATTGGAAAGATTACAAAAAAAAGCTATTAGAATCATCTGTCCAAACACTAATTACGAAGACGCTTTAATTAGTTGTGGATTGGAGTCACTGTGTGTTCATCATGAAAATATTTGTACTAGTTTATTTCAAACAGTAGTTGCTGATGAAAATCATAAGTTACGAAGTTTACTGCCACCTATGCATACTTCTTTTTATGATTTAAGAAACGATAGGAAATTTGAAATTCCTAGATGTAACACTAATCGTTTTCAAACTAGTTTTTTTGTGGCTTCGTGCCGCAAATCATTTATCTAATGCTATTGAAATGACCTAATATTTTTAATAATTTTAAATTTTTTAGTATATTAAAGTAATAAACATCTTGTATATATAATATTTATATGGAATGTCATCATAATGGCTTGATAAACTCTTCTTTTATATCTCGTAATTAGTTAAATTTACTTGTAAAAAAAATACGCAATTCAGCCTATGGCTGCGAAGTATTTTATTAAATCTATCTATCTATCTATCTATCTATCTACTCTCGACGTACGGTAGCAAGCTGAAGTTGCTCAACTGACCGTATCCAGCAATGCTGTCCTTTACTGGAATGCCCTGCAAGAGAGAGCTGAAATACTCAGATGGGAAGAGAAGGCTGTGCACCGGATATTTCCAACGTACAACTGTCCATGTTGCGCACAAATCGGTGCAGAACAGCGTATTTTGTTGTGTGTAGTCCTATCTTTTTGGCACATGATAATTATTCAGCTCTAATAAATTGTACATTCCATACAGGGTGGAAGGCTCGATAGTCCACATCAGGTTGCCACCATACGATCACGATCTGATCACGGTGCCATGAGTTAAACCGAGAAACTAGTTTTTGGTGAGGAGGAAAATTATATTTTTTAACAGACCATGTCAAAGCAAGGTAATGAGTAGTCAAGTAACAACCTATGGTAATAACTGAACGGGGGAGATAGCACACTCTTGTTCGTCTTACTAACCTTCGATGTATAAGCTCCATATTGTTTAACAAATTTATCTGCATGCTCTTTAATTCTCTTCGGCTCGCCTTTCTTGATGGCATTGACGAGATTCATGAGGCTGTTTAGTTGTTGCCGATTTTCTTTGAATTTTCGCATCAGTTTTAAAGAATCTTTGGTAAAAAGGACGTAAAGTTGATCAATAAGCCAAGATTTACTCTACCAAACATCGCAGGTTTTCTCCGGGAACTCTTGGTTCCTCGAGTAGTAACAATGTACCAACTGGCGAGGGTTTCACTGAACCTCTACTGGACCTCTAGGAAGAGCAGTTTAGAACTGATATAGAACTATCCAATATAAATACGGTTTATTTTGGTTTCCTCCAGTGGCAACACTGAAAACGCGCTGAAAATTTTGAAATAAAAAAGGGTTCGGTAAAGTGCTTAGAACTCGTAATTTCATTTGAACCTTGAACATTAAAATGTAAACTGTTCTGACTTTGTCGAAAAAATAATCGCAGTTATATCCTAGAGTGATGGCTGATCTTCCCCTGAGAGAGCCTGCTCGCAGGCTAGATTTATTTAAGATACCTGATGCAAGATCTTTGACTGCCTTAATGAGTTTAGCACCAGTTGTTACATTAGCAGTGGCAGCAGCTACAACAAATGTACGTTCAACTAATATTGCACTGACATTAACACTGGTGAACATCACCTTAAATAAAATGGAAATAATCAGGGTGTTAAAGAGCTAGTGCTAGAGTGGGGCAGAAGGAATATGGATGGGCGGAGGGAATGTGGATGAGCCGGATATGGATGGAGCATGAAACTATCTTCATCAATGTGGGTGGGCCATTAGATCATTTTTACGCAAGTTGATGGGCCATGAAACAAATGTAGCCAGATTGCGCGGTCATACTATATAATTACTATAAATTTTCTTAAAAATAACATTAAATATAAAAGAATAATTCAAAATGAATTCCAAATAAGAAGTAAAACTTATTGTAAAGGATACAAAAACATCCTGTTATTGTTAATAGTTTTCATGACTGTCTTTCATTGCCAAAATCAACTAAAATTTTAAATTTAAAAAACATTTTTATGAAATAAAAATAATAATTTTTCATTGACTTTGGCAATGTGAGATATTAAATCATGAAGATATTAATTCATTTCATTGTGTTTCTCTGAAGATGAATCAGATTCTGAATGATGACGTAGAGTCAGATTAGGCACACTGAGGAGATGATATTGCCGATGACTTTTGAACAAAGAAATCAAGTGTATATTGTTTTTTACCATCTCTTGATTTTGCTTTCTTTTGGCTTGTCATTTGGTTTTGTATCTCTAATGTGGTATTTTACTCGCTAGTTCTAGAGCACTACAAAGTAATTACTATCAAAGGATGGTGGCAATGGAATTGTTTTCCCCGTCGAGTATTTTTTCCGTTCTCGTTATTGTTATGTTCAATTGAGCTAGTAGCTTGTTTTTAAGTTCTTTCTTCCATATTTAGACTATATTATATTTAGGAAATCGTGTCACAACGCATGCTTTATTCTATCATAGAAAGCATCTATTAAATAATTCAAAACAAGTAAGAAATCAACAATACCAAAACTTCTGAAACAGTTTCCTTTACTGAATTAAAATCGCATTTTTCAAATAATTAAAAAAAATATCGCGTTCCCGCCAAAAATCGCACGGGAATTTTTACTTCACGTGAAATAACAATTTGGCCCGGCAAAACGAGCTAGCCCGGTTTAACGGGCCATCGCGGCTCATATCACAGCTACAGGCCGCAGTGGCACTAATCAGATCGATCTACTGTTATTAATAATGGGCATTTAATACATTGTATTTTTTATTTTATCTTGTTTATATGTGTTTTGGAATGCTTTTTTAACATCATCAGAACTCTGTAACAAACACAGAAAATGGCACAAATAAACGACAGTTGTCAAATAAACAATTTTCAAAATGCGCGAATCGTGTATATATATATATATATATATAAGTGTTTTAAATGAAAATATATATTTTGAAAGTTTTGGCGCCATTTTATTAGATTCTCTCTTCTGATTGGTTTAGATCTTTGGGGTATCTTCCACGCGTGGGAAGAGAACTCGCGTGACGTTTTCCAAAGCGCCATTTTGTTGTACGTCTTGTAGCGGGAAGATTAGAAATTGCTATATTTTATTATACTTCATTACTGTCCACTGACTGCTTTGCAAAAATAATAGGGAATAGTACATTATTTATAACTTATAAGACAAATAAGAGTTTTAAATCAAAACATATATTTTGAAAGTTTTGGCGCCATTTTATCAGATTCTCTCTTCTGATTGGTTTACTTTGGCGTATCTCCACGCGTGGAAAGAGAACTCGCGTGACATTTTCGAAACACCGCCATCACAGAATAGCGATTTAGAAATTGCTGTATTTTATACTCTTCAATACCGTCCAACGCTTTACATATTTGCTTTTTATTATGGGCAAACGATCAAAGAATGCATCAAAGCAAAAGGCAGATGAAGTAGAGGTTGAAGAAGAAGATTATATCGTCGAAAAAATAGTTGACGAGCGATATGTGGATGGTACACTAGAATATTTTTTAAAATGGAAGGGCTATTCGTCACTTGATAACACATGGGAACCAGCCGAAAATCTAGATTGTCCTGAGCTTCTTGAAGAGTTTAAGAAGACCCGAGTAGCACCCCCCAGAGATTCCTCTTCAGAATCAGACTCAAGGAAACGAAAAGCAGATGAAAACTCAAACGCAGAACTCAAGATCGCTAAAACGTAAGTTTTGGTTTAATTTATAATAGTATTCAGAAATTATGAATTTACATGTTGTAGTGTCGTACAGACATGCAGTACATATGCAGTACACATGCAGATAGTGAACTGAATTTATGTTGAAACCATACTTTAAAGTCTTGTTTAGCTTATTTGTACGAATCTATTCCAAAATACCCAACTGAAGTTTACATATGATCACATGTGCTCTTGATAATTTATGCGTGGACAAAGTTTGTGGACAGACCCTTAGTGGACAAAGTTTTTTTGTGTGAAATCCATGCCCCCAGGTAGTGCTGTGCGCTGGAGCCGGAGTTTTGGCCTATTTTGCTGGAGCAGGAGTTTGTTCAACTCCGGCAAAACTGTAGCAGCACTTATTTGTGCTGCAAACTACTGTCTGAGATTGGTGAAAAAACCTGAATCCATCAACGAAAAAGTAAATACTCGCATTGATATTTGTAGGCTTGCCACAAACATGTAAACATAGTGTTCTATGTATGATTGCCCAGGGATGGGAATGGGTCATTCCAGAAAAGATCCATACCCCCCTACGGAGGAAATCGAAAATAACCCCCTCCCCCCTTCGGACATCCTTGAATGGTTCATCCTCCCCCCTCTCCGGACATCCAAGCCCAAAATTACCCCCCTCCCCTTCGGACATCCACTATTTCTAAATTTTTCTAAAGGCTACCTCGCCGTTTGAAAACGTCACCGAAAATTAGACTACGTTCACATTACGCGCGAGCGAATTACTAATGCGGGCAGAATTTACGTGTGTTCATACTACCGCCATTACAGTTTGTTTACAAATTGAATTAGCACTCGTGTAAACCCAAAATATTTCAAATAGACCCAAGAAATTTAACTGAAAAGCATTCAAGTTTACACGTTTGTGTTCACACGAAGCTATCAAGAGCTCCACCGTTTTCACCTCGCTCCGTTTAGAAACCGTGCTCAAATTGTTACGGCAAAAGTGACGTGAAAGTTTTCAAACGATTTGCTCCAGCGTAGAGTGAATTAGCGATGGCTTATTGTGACTTTTCTATGCTGTTCTCAAATAGCTCTGGCGTGGCGGAACACTTGGCGGCTTCTTGTGACTTGCGAACACAAACACGTGGCAGGTTTTGTCGGATAATTTGCAGAAATTCACTTCGAAATTCGTTCAAGTAAAATTCGGACTGAAATTCGATGTAACTTGCAACTGATTGACAAGCGTTGCTATGTTTACTTACATGTTAATACATTTTGTAGTATTACTGCATTCCTTAACCTCGCCCTTAATATGAAAGCCATTTCTATTTTCTAGATACGCACCTCGCAAGGAAGCTTTATTGACTATATACTAAAACAAACTGTTTTGAGTTCAGTTCACATAGCAGTCTCGTAACTCGAGCAACAGTTTAATAACTATTATTTTTAACACTTGAATAATTCAAACTTATATATATACGAACGAAAACTGCAAACTATATAAATAAAGCGTGTCAATTTTCGACTCATTCTCAACATGCAGGATACGCTGTTACAGCAAGTTAGTTTTTGGTGGCCATGCATGCAAAAGTGGGCCGCTTATTTTGCTTACAAGTTATGTGGACGTATAATTATTGCTGTTACATAAACGTTCCGGTGTTCAACTCGAGAGCTGCATATATATAGCCGATAAAAATTGCATGCTCATTATAATCGCCGATCACATGGCTTTATCACAGTCTCAAACCTTCAGACAAACATAT